CAGTTAGGGTTTAACCGGCTTAGCCTTGACTCCTTTGCGATAAGGTCATCTACTGTAGGGGATTGCGCAAAATCTATTTCACAACTCTACTAAAACATAATTTCTCAATGTAAACATGTTACTCCCCATCTTATAATAACATATATATTTCAACGTGAATATTCTGATACGTTTTTAATAGGTTCTTCAAAGGCAATGTCTCTTACTGAACCTTAGTCTTAATCTTGACGACCATCTCACCTATAACAAAACCCTACCTTACCCCACCCCGACCCTAATTCCCCTGTACACTAACGATATTAGGTCGCGAAAGAGGGTGGCGTGTTCCTATTACCATGTCTTGCAGTAAAATTTAACAGGCTATTACATTTAGTTGTACTTTTGGTTCACACTGATGGCGAGATACTAATATAACCAAGAAGAATAAGATGCGATCGCTTGGACAAAACTTTTATCCGCCTGATCTTTCGACATCCGCTGCGGATTCTTCTTCTATGACCTTCCCAAGGTGCACAAAATCGGCCGCTTTCTCGCAATACTTGTAGTTGGAGTCGCATACAGGCTCGAAGGCAACCATAAGGCGTTAGATAATAAAACCAAAAGACTCACTGCCAGAGCAAGATACAGCTGGAGTCGTCTATATGGTCTAGAGCAGTTGCGGACAAAGCAACTACTTCGGAGAAACTGGAAGATTTCTCAAGACGCGATTTGCCGAACACGCGGCAGCAGTGCGGCTAAATGATGGCAATTATCAAGTTGCGGCTCATTCGACAAGACCCGGCCACACATTTAAATTTGGTGAGGCCCAAATTCTTGCAAGAGGTGACAATCGTCAGAGTCGAGAATTATTTCTATCATGGTTCACGGAACCCCAAGCAACAAAAAAGTGTGACGACCTGCCCAATCCATATTCGCTGCTGAGGCTCAATTTGGCCAAAGCAATTCGCCGCTTGGGGAACGCACAGGCCACCGCGTCTTCTTACAACAATTCCGAGGAACCAGATGGCCGAGCAATCCCCACGCGTGATGCAAGTTCAATCTGCCACTGCCCATATGCCGATATGGAAACTATTAACGCACAAGAGGACAATTATCATTAACTGTCATAAGTGTGAAGTAATGACTGTATCCTATTAATACTGCAAATTCCTGTACATGTATTACCCATTTCTGCTACTGTTTTCTGCTGATGTCTCTGATGAAGAATCCGCGACAGAAGTCAAAATGTCAGGCTAATAAAAGTCTTGTCCCGGCGTTAACATCTGCTTATTCTCAATTACTTCCCGGTAGTGACATGTTTGCTTGTATTGGCAACTAATATAACCTTGAGTACAGCTGCACTCATGGTCTCGTTCTGGTCTTTGTCAGTCTCGCATTGAAATTTTATATTTGATCCTCCTGCGGTTGAGGGCGTTTGGTTCACGACCCCGAGCGGACACTACTGAATGTGCATGGGTGGCACAAAGCACATGAGCAGCTTGTGTATTACTATACGCCAAACCTGATCGTATCGTGGCAGTTTCGGAAGTTTTAAACAAAGCTCGTCTGACCCGTTAAAGTGTGTTGGAATTCCTCCACCGTACCGCAGTTTCACACTCTTTACTTTTCTCATTCGACTCCTGTATTCGATTGATGTAGACATGTTAAAACAGTTGACCATGTGGCCGATACTGTGCGTGGTAGTCTTCTGAGTTTATCGATCGATTCTGAGACGCTTGAGCCAAGTCATTGGGATGTCTGTCTTGTCATCATGTTATGACTCTTAAAGGCATACCCGTGACACAGCCACTGTGGCGAACGATAAATCCATAAATCCTCAAATGACGGCCTATTCGTAGAAATCGCATCTGCTCCGACTCATACAGTGTGCCTCCAAGGCCTGGCTAGCCAGAATCCTTTGAAGAACAGGGGGCGGGATACCAGTTGAGCTTCTTTTCTTACCTCCGATGGCTGTGCCTGAGACGCAGAACAGGATGGTCAAAGCTGTCACCTTAGACGCCCTGTGCTTGCTTCTTAAGTACACAGTTGCTATTGCAACTGCGACTGGAGATTCAGCCTGTACAATACCTGACGGACAAAATGTTATTTCCTTCTGGCTTCTCTTTTTTCTAAATAATATGCTTCCTAAATAAGTAAAGGTGTTTGCACTGGTCAACCGATAGCCAATGACTATGCGTGTTTGTTCCTCAGCTTCAAACAGCATCCGAATTGTCTCCATTTCGAGCTCATTTTCAAATGAGGACCTGATCGGACGCCGCCACCGTGATGTAGACACCGTTTGAGTCTACGTTCACTATAATCCAACTATGCTCACCGCGTGGTGGACACCGTCGAGAGCGACGGTCAAACTATCACCTGAGCCAGCAGTTCTGGTGGACTTGTTCGTAACCCAGCCATCCCAATCATCACCGTTGCAACGCTCCTGAGCCCAGCCGCAACGTCCGGCCGTCCATTCGAGCTCTCCACAAGGAAGCTGTTGCCTCGTCTCTCGCGGATCTACCCG